ATAAAATAGCTATGATTGGCCATAGATAGTCTAGTTATGCAGTTGGACATAAATAGTCTAGTTATTCAAGATTGAGATTTCTTGTAGGTAGGGAAGAGCACATGTTTCTCATCTGCTGCTTACCACGTGCTAAGTATGTGAGAAGTACTCAGAAAATTTCCAGTAATTTTCCAGGTCTTGCCATGCCAAGAATCACCTGCAAGACTTCCCCCTGCACCAACAAGATTCCCCAGCCTCCTGTGAAAAATAATTTATCTTCCTTTTTGTTTTGTTTTGTTGTTTGTTTGTTTTTTACTTTTCTTCTGTCCAGGAAACTACCAAATACTGGGCACCTTGATGTTCCTTCTGATGAATCATGTATCATTCTACACATGAATTGTAATAATCCCAAACACCTTGGCATTCCTTCCAGGAAAAAAAATACCACAAAACTGAGAAAATCTGTTGTTGGGGAAAATATATTATGTGGAGAATTCTCACTTTTGGGGTGGGGGACGTGTGTTTTCCCCTCCTCTATTGCTTTCCAAGAGCAAGAGACTGAGAGAAGCACATCTTCACTGGGACACTCCTGTACTGTAGTTTGAAAACAAGTGAAATTCTTGGCCTCAGTTGTATGCATACTTAAATGGAAGCATTAATTCAGCAACCTACCAGTCAAAGTACAGACAACATTTAAATCTGGTTACAACATGAATAATGTGCCTATTTATCTACAGTTCAGAGTGGGGGGGTTCCTACTCTGGATTTGTAGTGTATACTTAAGATGGGCATGCCCCTATCTCTGTAAACAAATGATTCAGTAAATTTCATATGTTCCACATTGTAAACTACCTTTTAGCATATCAATTACTTCACTGGCAATAAGAGAAAAAAAGCAAGTTGAGATCATCACAATATGGTGAGACATGATATTAAACCAAACATGATAAATTAAGCTTACTGAGGTCATTCACATAATCACAATCAAGCTTCTGAATACAGTGGTGCCTCAACTTACGAAATTAATCCATATTGGAACGGTGGCCAGAACCTGAATTTTTCGGAAGTCGAAGCACTATTTCCCATTTAAATGCATGGGAATGGGATTAATCCGTTCCAGCATTTTAAAAAAAAAACAACCAAAAAAATTAAAGCGCACAGAAAGCCCCATCGGAAGGCTCCGTTCCATCATTTAAAAAAAAACAACCAAAAAAATTAAAGCACACAGAAAGCCCAATCGGAAGGCTGTGGGGTTTTAAAAAAACAACAAAAAAATAAACAGAGCAAGCCCCGAAGGCTGCAAAAAAAATAAAACCAAAAAAATAAACATTGAATAATCCCCACGCTGGGACTGCAAAAAAACAACACAGCACCGAAACATAACCCCCTCATTTAAAAAAAAACAACCAAAAAAATTAAAGCACACAGAAAGCCCAATCGGAAGGCTGTGGGGTTTTAAAAAAACAACAAAAAAATAAACAGAGCAAGCCCCGAAGGCTGCAAAAAAAATAAAACCAAAAAAATAAACATTGAATAATCCCCACGCTGGGACTGCAAAAAAACAACACAGCACCGAAACATAACCCCCCCTCCACCAAGACCCACCCTGCAAACCCACCCAGAAGGTTCTAAAAAGGAAAAAGCAGCACCTTACCAGGCAGACTGAAGCGTCCAATGGCACTCAGTCCTGGTGGGGAGCCTCCTCCTGCGCCGCCGCTGCTGCACTCCTTGTCCACAGAGGAGCCCCTCCCACCCCTGTGCTTCAGCCCAGCCCAGCATCTTTTGGCACCCTTACTCATGAGTAGGCCCATGCCTGTGGTGGGCCTTACTCATGAGTAGAAGGGAGCTAAACCACAGAAGCCTCTGTGCTGCAAGGTCAGAAGACCAGCAGTCGTAGGATTGAATCCACGCAACAGAGTGAGCCCTCCTTGCTTGTTCCAGCTCCTTGCCAACCTAGCAGTATGAAAGCATGCAAATGCAAGTAGATAAATAGGTACCACCTCAGTGGGAAGGTGAAACAGCGTTCCTTAGTCACACTGGCCACATGACAACGGAAACTGTCTTCGGACAAGCACTGGCTCTACGACTTGAAAACAGGATGAGCACCGCCCCCTAGAGTCGGACACGACTGGTCTAAAAAAATGTCAAGGGGAACCTTTACCTTTACCTTACTTATGAGTAAACTCCAGGGATGGGCAGGGAGCACACTGGCTTCCTGCACCCGGCGGCGATCTGGAGCTGCCCCCGCCTCTCCTTCCTCCTCCTGCCCCTCAGGAGTAAAAAAGTTCCCTGACCCCTGCTCTACCTGAAAGAGCAACAAAGAAGCAGCTGCTTTGCCACCAACAATTTAAATTTCCCGTCTTTTGCCCCTGCCTTTTTCTGTTCTTATGTCGAAGCTCTGGCCCCAAGTCGAAGCAAAATTTTGCGGCCGGAGTTTTTCGTAACTCAAAATTTTCGTAGGTAAGGGCGTTCATAATTCAAGGCACCACTGTACCAAGTAAATCTTCAAGAGTATTAAAACAAATATTAAGAGTTGTTTCCTTCTTTACCTAAGAGTCGCTTTGGGAAAATATGTATTTTTTTGTTATACTGTAACTTCATGGCTGAAATCCAGTAGTAAATCACAGGCTTACTGAATTGTGTCTCTAATATGACTTACTTTTGTATTTTAGCCATTGGTTAGCGAGTCAAGCAATAGACACTGGCCAAAATCCTGTTGAGGAGATGCAAAGTACAAGAGTGTTCACATAAACAGTTCATCCTCTCCAGTGGGCTGTCTTTTGTGCATCCATGTATATACTGGTTGCAAAATCAGGTATGTGATGGCTCACATGACTGACTGCATGAAGGATAGCCCACCAGAGGAGGGGAACCACTAAATTACTGCACAGTAATTGCACAGTTTTTTTGGCCTGCATCCTTTTTCAAGCTTTTATATTCTACTATTGTTCAGATAAATATCCTTTCATCTAAACCAGTTTCAAATTAAATCCAGTGTACAGTGGACCCTTGACTTACAGACGGCTTGACTTACAGACTTTTTGACTTGAGAACCGCCTTCCAATACGGATTAAGTTCTCAAGTCAAGACCCCACTGTACTTATTCCTTTATGAACTTCATTTTTCCCTTCAAAATACATTTTTCCTCATAAAAGTAAGACAGTCTGTAATGAACTGTCTTAACTCCCATTTCTTCACCATTTTCAACAGTCTAAATAAAACAGAGAACAGCATTTGTACTGAGGGTGTTAATGTACAACCTGGCTGAAATTCTGTTATAGTGTAATATTTGTGGTACTTTAAAATTACACCCAGGCAGTCTGCATTGTGTGCCTATTTGCACAATTGATTATGTAATGAATTGTGCAATGTTGCCCACAGAACCGCTTGCTAGATATGACTTCCACCATGACATTAATTTTGCAGCTATTTGTGCAGCCTCAAGTTATGCTGACATAGCTACACAGTAGGAATTTCGTCAATGAATAGCATGGTTTGGATTCTGTCAAACATCATAATCCCGCCACCCCCAAAAGTGTCCTATACCTATCTCTACCAGATTTTATACAGATTCTTAAACTTTTCAAAGGTTTAGCTGAGAATAACTGTAAATGCTGCACTCCCCTTTCCAGGACATCTCCATTTCCACAGTTTATTGGTTTAGGACCTATTATTAATAGGAAATAATTCCATCATGGCAGAATCAATGCATCTGCAAAAACTGTACACCAACTACTACCAAAGTTCTACATTTCCAAGGTTATCATAAAGTTGTGCTGTGTCTACATGGTTCTGCACAAAGGCGTTGTATGCAAGTATTTCATGCAAAATGGACTCTGTTTCTCTAACCTATAGAACCATCTGTCACACTATGTGGACTTTAAAGAAAAAGCTGGGCTTGTTGCCAGATCTAGTTGACATAATGGCCCTCACTTATAACATCTCATCTCTACACAACCGAAGACAAAGGCCACTATCCTGTTTGGTATTTATGAACATGGAACTCCAGCTGCAAAAACTGGCACGAAAATCTGACAAAGGGCTTCTTCTGTTTGTTTGCATGTGACCAGCACCTTTCCAAATACTGCAGGAGCTCCCTCCTTTAGAAATCTATGCACACATAAACACTAAATAGGATCCCAGATTTCCCATTGCAGGGTTTTCAGCAGGAAGAAGAGAAGGAGAGCCCCGTCTTGAATGTAATGGTAGAGAAATGCCTATGAATTCTTAAAGCCTTGCTTCTGATTGCTGTAAACTTGAGCAGTAGGGAAACTGTAATCTATCCAATTCTAGCACCTAGTTCGTAACTCATGTACATTAGTCATTCCTGTGCAAAGACCTATTGTTTTCTATCCAATTCAAGCTAATCAGTGGTATTTTAACCATAGCCTGCCTGCTTTCCTGCCTTGTAATAATGTTCTGAGGATGTTGGGCTTTTAGCCTACGACAGGTTTTCCCTGCAACATGATTACTCATTGCAATAGTTGCTGTTTACTATTGAAAAATTTTGTGTCCTTTAGCAGATTTTATGGTCCTGTTTGTTTGCTTTTGATAAATTTGAACGTCTTGTCTCCTTACAATGTAAGGAGTCTGCAATTTGTATTTCGAGAAGAGTCTATAGATGTGTTGTGTGAAAGTTTGTTAATTTCTTACCACATCAAAAAAATAGGTTCTTTTTTTCCTTCTCAAAGCATTTGAGCACAGAGGCTTCTTTATACAGTAACACTTTCCACTGCATTTTCGTTGTCAACCATTTTTTCCAAGGCGAGAGTGCTGGAGAATTCTCCCAATGCTTTTATCACTGCAGCTTCTTGGATCAGGAAAGCAATTTATTGCTGATTGCAGAACTCTTGAACTCCGCCTGGCAGCTTCATTCTGAAATTTCTCTGATCCATCCTCCTAGTAATTTATTTATATATTCCTTTGAAATTATTTTCGGGACTGCTTGCAAACCTCTTGACATTGCAATATCCATGTTTTAAAATCTTATGCTGTTGTTTCCTTCTCCCTTTGTGTTCCAGATAACAGACGAGTAACTCTAGAAAGGTCACGTTCCCGCCACAATGGAACTATCACAGCTGTATGAATCCACCCTCCCATGCCAAAGAACTGGAAAGATGTTTTAGTTACTATAAATGGAGACATGCTGAAAAGAATGTTTGAAGAGCAAGTATGATCAGAAATGAAATTTAAATGAGTTCTAAGGAACAACAAGAAGAATGTGCATTTTTGCAGATGTTAACTGTGACAAAAAAAGTCAATCAACTTACTGTATATTACTAACAAAATTGTTAAGAACTGTAAGCAGTGTTAAAATATAAGATTATGTCTCTACTTCACTAGTATTACTTGAGATTGTTAAGCCAATAATTAAGGCTGTACACACACTTATATATGTAAAGGTGGACAAGGCATAAGTGTATTGTTAAATCAATGGCATTGAGGGATAAGGTCAATGAAAGAGTTCAGGAGATCAATTGTAGTTCTTATTTTGACATGAAAGAAGAGAAAATGGGAAACATGCATATGGATGAATTTAGATATGATTATCAGAAATTCCATTTTCAATATACCGCACATAAGATACCTTTTTTTTTAAGCTTGAGAAAGCACTGTATATGTCCCATCAGTTCCCTTTTCTCAAGTTTCAATCATGATGGGTTCACCTATCTTAGTTGCAGTTATACTTTTATCACAAATCTACACTCAGTGGAAAAAAGATATATAGCTTTTTATCATTGCTAAATAATAATAATAACAATAACAATCATAAAGAATAAGAACATAGGATTGTACCAAAGTTAAACCATATCACATGCAGAATATGTTTTTAACTATATTTAAAAATGTATTTTCTAATTATGCACTTATGTAAACTTTATACAGATATTTTGAGGAAAAATTCTTAACTATTTTCATGGTTCTAAAACTCCTTTACCTTTTAAGTTTTCAGAGACATAATCTCTTCCTATGAAGATAATAAAAAAGGTACACTTGAAACAATTGAATGCCAAAATTATTTTAGCCCATATCAAGATGACCCTATTGGTAAATTAAGAGCAAAGAGAGGGACTGCCACATGCATAAGCAATACTATCTAGCAACAGCCTTCCACAATCTACAACCCTCTAGATGTGTTGGACTACAGTTTCCATTAAGTAGAAGCAGTATGGCCATTGGCTATATTGACTAGAGATCATGGAAGCTGTAGTCCGGCACTTCTAGAGGGTGCAAGAATGAGGAAGCCTGCTGTAGCACATCATTGCCTGACTTTTTTTTTACTGATGTCAATTCTATATCAGGCCAAAGATCATCAACCTCAATCAGCTGATATTTTAAAAGCCAAAGTCCTGTTGCATCAATTACACCTGCAGAAGAGTGATTACACAATTGGCAAGGATAATTTTAGGTATTTGATAGCTTCCTACTTGTGTCCTGCAATTTTTCCAACTCCTATGTCATCACTGTTATGTGGGAGCTGCAAGATTGAAGGAGGGAGTCTTTAATTTCAGAAAATCCCCCCTGATGGTGATGTCACAACCCTTCTGCAGGTGTAACTGATGTATTGGGATTTGGGCCTATATGTTTTAGAATAGTATAAATTGCTCCTGCCATGTGTGTGCGTGCTTCAGGAGGATAGGGCACTTCCATCAGAGGGAATTGCTGTGGCCAAGATGTGCAAAAATTTACTTTAGTTCTTCCTACTAATCAGTTTACAGGAGCCAATTTAACATGGCTGATGGAGGGTACATTTAAGTACTGCAGCAAAAGATTCTATTAGAGTAATAGGATGGAATTGCTTTTGTATCAGACAGTGTTTAAAACTCAGGAGAAAGCCCTCCTTGCTCAGTTTCCTCAGAAGTTTTAGAGTCGCTACCAGATGCAGCAAGCAAGGGCCAAAATGCTCACCTCTGGGGAAAAAAAAATTCGTAGGTTAGGAAAAAAACATGTCACAGAGGAATAGGCTTCAGAAATCTCCCCAACAGCTCAGCATTCTTTCTGAATCTTTCGTAGTGGATCTCCCAAGTTCTCCAGTGTAGGGTGGGTGGGGGGGCACTGCAAGGAAGCAAATTAGATCATCAGTGGTTGCTGCTCTTCCCATTTCGCCAACAACTGCCTTCCATTAGCAGTGGGATGACAATTGGGATACATTCACAGTTTTCCCAGCCCAGCAAAATTATGAGTCACATTATAACCTTTTGGCTGGAGAGTTCAGGTCAAGACACATGGGGTTTCATCTTCATAATATCCTCAAATTCTAGGATGGACAGGAATGGTGACTGGACCAGCTTCCCTAATCAGGTCTTCCTCATTTGGCGCTAATTGTACATTTTTCTGATGCAATGTGTTGTACAATAGAAGGTTCTACATTGACTCTACTGCAGTTTTCTTAGCCACTGTTCATCTAATACACCTTCAGTAAGCCAAGGTAGATAATCATTGGTCCATAAATTCTCATGCTTAGGCACTGAATGGGGTGTATTATAATGGAATTACAAACCTGTGTTTTTATTGTGCCCTTGCTACCAATCTAAGAAAGAATGGAGCCCGTCTGTTTGGGTAGGCTCAAACTGGGGTTCAAAGCAGCTACTTGCAGGTTCATCCTGTCTGTGTATGCTGCTGAAGAATTTAAATTCAGTAAGAAAGAAATAACCTTAATGGCATTCTCATAACCCTCCAGTGAAGTAGAGAATATTGCAAAAAATTTCAAATGGCAAAATATAGGTCCTTTTAGGGAGTGAGGGTGGAAAAAGGATGCCGGCCCACTAAACAGTTTCCTTGACATATGATTAGAGCAGATGAATCAATACCCTGAAGTTATTTCCCACGTTAATAATTTATTAATAGTTGCAAGATGACTAATAGGATTTTTTTAAAATTACCAATCTATCTAAATAGTCTAGCTCAAGTATTTAGAATCAAATTTATTTAATACATAAAGCCAAAACAGTAATTCATTTGAATGAGGAAAGTGTGTCTTTTCTAATCTACAATATCTTGAAGACAATGCATTGCAAATCAGAAAAGAGAAATAAGTTTCAATAATTTAAAAAGGAAGATGTTTGAAGAATTTATCAGAGCATTAGAAAAGGGTTGGGGGTTTTTCTACCTGTAACATTAATTATTGAGGGCAGTATTTTTATTTTTGTCATTTCGCTTTTGAATAACTTAATAATGGGCAACTGAATAGTTTAAAAAACCAAATTCTGTCAACAACCAAATCCGAAAGGAACCTAAAGATATTCTGATATTTCAGTTTTACAAATCCAGTCATTTTCTTCCATCTTTGGGACATTCTATGTAATTTAGCATATATGTTTCTTAATAAAGAAAAAAAAGTGGGGAGTATATTGTAAATACTGGGTGCTAGTATTTATAAAGTCTAAAAAAATATTTTCTAACGTTTATGTTGGGTCACTGAATCTTTTGATAGCTTTTTATTGTATTTGAAAATGCAGATTTTTTTAGAAAGACACCTTGCTTTATGGTATTAGTATGATTCCTATGCTTGTCGTATGTTTACCTAGTGACCTAGTGAATTTGTAATCTGGAGGTCATTGCACCATTTCCTAAACTGCACTTGCCTTATTTTATTATCTAAATGGAAATAATTACTAAAGAATTGCGCACAGATACACAGATACAGGCTCCCACCTGACAAAGGGGGCAAACTTTGGAAACTAAATGTTGAGCCTTTTGTGACACTGAACACCACTATTGAGCTTGCATATTTTAAGAAAAAATGTATTTCTGATATTGCAGAAGACATTTGTGTGCATTTATATTTTAAGTGAAGAAAATTAAATATAGCATTTGTGTTTTGTAAGTTACATTTCTTCAAAATGTTTGCAGAAATTTAAAATAAAATGTTAGATGTGGAAATTGAAGCTAAATTCTGATACCCTGAACTAACACATATCCCTTAAAATAATTGGAGTACCAGGAAGATCTGCAAAATTCTAGTCATTGCTTAAGCATACTTCCTGCTTGATTGCTTAGAAAAATGTAAAGGAAATAAAACCTTCTCCAAACAAACCCATTTTAGGCAAATTATTCATTTTTAAACAGAATTTCTAGGGGAAAAAACCACTTTTAACAACAAGCCCCCAAATCTCTGTTTTTTAATATAGTTATTGGTGAGTGAGGATTTCTTGTTTCTGCTAACCACTGTTTACCAGCCTGTGACAAACATACAGAAACATTATATGCTTAAATACATTTAATTTATACCTGCACGTATAAGAGTGTTTACTACCTCAGAATGCAATTCAGCTTGAAATACATTGATTAGACCATGGCAGAGGAAGCTCTTTTCTCCACATGATCTCATCAGTCTAAATTCACCATGTCTTTTTTTTTTAACAGGTAGTATGTGGCACAGAATCCAAAAAATGCACATACAGACATGCACGCACCACCGCCATCACCTCAGTTACTATAAAGGAAAACAGGTTCCTGTGTATAACAAATTAAGGTGTGAGAGAGGCAGTCATGGTCACCAGTGTCTCAGACGTGGCCAACAAGAGCTTAAAGGGTTTCGTTAATTACAAGTTTTAATAACTTCAAATTGGAGTTTACTCGTTTGTTCATGCAACTAGAAAGCAGGAACCAGTTCACAGGACACTTCTGCAGATGGGAGATTTGTCTCTCAGGCCACTTGAAGTGTCTATAATGTCTGAGCCAGGAGCTCATGGATTTTAGTACCTCACCCTACCTGCCATCTTGGTAGCACATTGTCCAACTGGAAAACATTCCGCAGTCATAATTTGTACCTTCTGATGCACAAGCTGTTTTGCAGAAATGATTTATTCTTGAGAATAGTCATGTTCAGGACATGCTGAAATAAAAAAGCAACATCCAAATAAGCTCTTTCTTAGCTTCTGTTTTAGAGTTGAAATAAGAAACTAGCTAATGCAATGTTCAGTTCATTCTCAGATCAAATATCCCACTTTTATCCCATCTTCAGATCCTGTCTGTCTTCTTTTCCATTCCTGATGCTGCAAGAAAGGCATAAAGATCATCATGGTAAAAGCCAAAGACTTCCAGGCTTGCATGAGCATGTGTAGACTGCTCATGTTGCAAGTCAGACTAAGATTTCTGTCTGAACAAAATGCTCTTAAAAATATTTCCACAGTCTTGCAGATAAATGCAAAAAGCTAACTAAGCCTTCATTGTTTGTAGTCATGGGACAGTTTGGCTTTTAGATCTTGCAAACTGCTCACTCAAAAGTACTGCCTAATGACAAAGGAGCCCTCCTGGCCAAAACAGATAAACACTAGGTGATGTTACAGGCTTATCATGCAGAATTTTCCATAACTGCAATTAACTTGTCTTTTTAATTAAAAAGCATATTAACATCTATGTGCGTTTGGAACAATTCAGTGTTAATAATGGCACATGTATTGCCCCTTTATACCTTTCCCTTTGCCCAGGACACAAAGAGAACGGATTTCCTGTTTCTTAAGCACATGCCTGTGTTGTTTTGCTTTGATTTAAGCACTATAGTATAGCTGGAATTTTTCACACCCAGTAGACACTTGGCAGGAAGTAGCTATGTAAAGAAAGAAGCTGTAGTATGTGCCATGGTATGTTTTTTTCCTCCTGTCCTTTCCTTGTTATTATTTTGTTAGAACTTGCAAATTCAAATAAGTAACTTGCATTAAATAGTCTGTTTACATTGCAGGCTATTGTAAATGTAAGACCCATTCTTGTAAGAAGTATGAGTAACCAGAAGTGCACATCCACTGTTAACTTCTTTCTGCAGCACCAGAAACTTGAAACTTAGGACTACATTCTTACCTTGCCTAGATGTGCACCACTACTGTCAACATCATTGTCCTGTATCCATGTTATTCAAAAATGCCAGTTGGAATAATGTTCCACCCATGAAACCTCACTATCAGTACAGATTGTATGATATGTGGTTCTTGGTTATTCTTGATATATGAGCATTTATGCCAAATGTATGCACCAAGGGTGTTTATCATTTCACTGCTACATTCTGTTGCTCATGTCATGTGCCAGTTACGACCACAATAATGTGAGGTTCCCTGAGTTCTGCCAGCAGCAATTTATATGATGCCCCCTTGTCTGTTTCTGGTTATACCCAGAATATGTGAATGACCAATATTTTTGGTGTTAACATGCTGGGTTAGAGGAGGCATCCACCATTGTACAAGGCAAAATGAAAAATTGCCGAGGAGCCCTGTTAACACACATATACCTTGCTTCTTCCTATCTAATTGAACATACCTTCGTGAACAATGCATGAACGCATATTTAATCTAGAGATGCTTGTTACTTCCCAAATCTCTTGATTAGCTACCTTGAAATAACTAAACAAATTATACCACTTTTGCAGAGATACCATATAATGCAATAGCTTTTCTCTGACATGATTCTAGTTTCTAACATCTCTTCAGATAAGCACTCTTCAAGTATTCATCACCGTGTGGTTTGCTTTTCTGTGGCCGTGCTTGGTAGCTCCCCACTCCCAATGACTTTATCCCCACTGGCTACAGAGTCACACCTCTGCATGTTGAGCAGAAGATCTGAAGGAATCCTTGCACATTTGGGGATGTGATGACATTTGTGATTTTTTGTGAACAGGGACTACAATAAACTTGCAATCTACAAAATATCTTTTTTTTTTTTTTTTTTGCCCCACTGATTCCAATGCCAACTCAATATATAATTCTAATCTGGATTGTAGCATTGTCTATTCTAGATTAGACATCAAAATATATTATAAGTGAGATGCACTAAAATGTTTAAAAGCTTTCTATATAATATCAGTACTATTCACAAACTAAATGCATTTTTGTGATGTCAGAGTTTGGTTATAAATTGATTTAAATTTGTTTTTAAAAATCAGCTTTTGCTTTGCAATATCTTATGCTTATTTAATTTATCTTGAACAACATTCTAAAGTACTTCTCTGCTACAAAGTTCTGCTTTTTGGAGGGTGGGTGGAGTTTTGTTTTTTTAATCTGAAGTGTCAAATATATTTCGTTGAAATGAGCAGGGAAAATGCCTTCTGTAATTACTAATTTTAAACAAAATAAGAGACCATATTCTTTTTAAAGTGTCAATTCCTGGTGGTACATGTTAAAAATCTTAACAATATAATGCACAATAAATATCAGTCTGTTTTATTTCCTGTGTATTTAGTTGCATTACAGCACTTCTGATAAACATAATAAATTAATTAAGACATTGATGGTTGTTGTGGGTTTTTTGGGCTCTTTGGCCGTGTTCTCTGTGGGGAAACTTTTGAAAAAATACAACCTACAATGATGGTTGTGTTTTTTGGGCTCTTTGGCCGTGTTCTCTGTGGGGAAACTTTTGAAAAAATACAACCTACAAACAGTATTCAAACCCACCACAAAAATACAACAAACGTTAAGGTCAGCAAAGGACAAAAGGGACCCACCGCCACCACTGCAGGAGTATACGGGATACAGTGGACCCTCTACTTACGGAATTAATCCGTATTGGAATGGTGGCTGCAAGTCGAAAAGTCTGTAGGTCGAGTCTCCATTGACCTACAATGCATTGAAAACCGATTAATCCCATAACTGGCCGTTTTTGTTCCATTTTCGTTGCATTTTGATTTTTTTCTGGTCTGTGGGTCAATTCTCTGACTGCAAGTCGAATCTAAATTTTGCAGCCAGAGAAGTCTGTAAGTCGAGCCGTCTGTAAGTCGAGGGTCCACTGTACCTTGCATTGTGGCCAGGTATATATTGGAACCACAAAACGCGGCATCTACACCAGAATCAAAGAGCATGAGAGACACGGCAGACTAAAACAACTGGAAAAATTGGCAGTAGCTGAACATGCCGTAAAACAAACTGGACATTTAATTTTATTTTAAAAATACTGAAATACTGGACAGCACCAGCAATCATTATGTTAGACTGCACAGGGAAGCCATTGAAATCCACAAACACCAGCAAGGCTTCAACAAAAAAGAAGAAAGTTTAAAACTCAACCTGGCTCCCAGCACTGAAAATTACAGCCTACAAAAGGTCAACAAACTCTACCCAGCCACAAGGACCAATGATCACTGCACTTAAAAGACAAGCTAACGACACCCATCAATCACAGTGACAGATAATCTCTCCCTCTTATTACAACAATACACCCACAACAAAAAACACGCTGATCAACACAATCACCCATCTCCTGTGATGCTATAAATACTCAACTATCAAAACACATTGCTCCAGAGAACAGACAGAGTTCTGACTCCTGTCCTCTGAAGATGCCGGCCACAGAGACTGGAGAAATGTTAGGAAGAACAACCTTCAGAACATGGCCAAAGAGCCCGAAAAACCCACAACAACCATTAGATCCCAGCCGTGAAAACCTTCAAAAATACATTTAACTAAGACATTGTTCATGTTTTCAGACAATTTTTAGTCCTTACCCTAATCAAAGGAACTAGTCTGGGAACCTAGTAGGAAATATTTGCCTAAGTACCAAGCACAAGCTTTCAGTTTGATTTGAGAGAAGGATCTGCAATGAAAACTTTAAAAAATAAAGTGTTCTTTGGAGAATGAAGTTCAGTAATTCAGTATTTCTGAATCCAGTATATGTGAATCCTGGGGGCATAATCTTCCTGTAAAGATCCTGATAAAAATGATGACCATGAAGAAAAACAAGACTCCATTGCACAACACAAACAGTACCGCAGACTTCACTTGCTAACCCCCAAAACTCAACACACACACACATGCAGGATGTTGCTTCTTAAAGACCATATCAAAAATAAAAGACTGGGGCAAGAGTGCATCTTTAAGAAGACTGATATTCTCTGGAAAACCTATAATTTTGCCCAAATGGAGGCTTTAAAATATAGAGCTTTGAGAACTAGCTGGGTAAGGATTAAGTATAATTTTTAAAGTTAAGGAAACAGAAGCTTTTAACCTAGAAATTCTCCCCTTGCTAGGGCTTCAAATTTCTGCTTACCAAACCTTAAAGCAAAAACAGTTACTCCTCAACCTTTCTCCGTACTTGTTCAGTATTCAAGCTATAGCAAGTTTATTCTGCCAGAGACAGCAAGCATATCCATCTGGACAGTCAGTTACTTGCTGAATATAGATAACCACAAGGACAAATGAAGGTTGGGGGTACATTGCAGTTGGAGGGTACACCTCTGGAGAAGAACCTCTGTTACATCTATTTCTGCATAATTTTTGTTGTTGTGTTTAGTCATGTCCAACTCTTTGTGACCCCATGAACCAGAGCACGCCAGGCCGTACTATCTTCCACTGCCTCCTGGAGTTTGATCAGATTCATGTTGGTAGCTTTGATGACACTATCCAACCAGCTTGTCCTCTGTCGTCCCCTTCTCTTCCCTTCACTCTTTCCCAACATCAGGGTCTCTTCCAGAAGTCTTCTCTTCTCATGAGATGGCCAAAGTATTGGAGCCTCAGCTTCAGGATCTGTCCTTCCAGTGAGCACTCAGGTTGATTTCCTTTAGAATGGATAGGTTTGTTCTCCTTGCAGTCCAGGGGACTCTCAAGTCTCCTCCAGCACCACAATTCAAAAGAATCAATTCTTCAGTGCTCAGCCTTCTTTATGGTCCAGCTCTCACTTCCATACAACGCTAATGGAAAAACCATAGCTTTGACTATGCGGACCTTTGTCGGCAAGGTGATGTCTCTGCTTTTTAAGATGCTGACTAGGTTTGTCATCACTTTCCTCCCAAGAAGCAGGAGTCTTTTATTTTCGTGGCTGCTGTCCCATCTGCAGTGGTCATGGAGCCCAGAAAGTAAAATCTTTCACAGCCTCCATATCTTCCCCTTCGATTTGCCAGGAGATGATGGGACTAGTGGCCATGATCTTAGGTTTTTTTTTG